TTAATAAACTAAAATCATACCCTCAACATACTTAAACTATATAAAAATCTCTTGCCTCCCCTATTACGTTTAGCTCTCCATACAAACTGAATTAAACAGAGGAATCTGCATCTTCATCATGTAAAATTGATGGAATAAGGAAAGAGAATAAGGAAATAGAGAGTTATCCCGGTTTGTTGCCGTTTGTCAATGAAAGTTCCCTTCTCTTGAGCTCTCACGTCCACCTCTTTGCCCTAATCAATCCTTGTTGGTCTTCTTTTCCTTCTGCTGTCAACAGCTGCTGGGTTAGGGTTTTCTTCTTCTTCTCTGGTTTCACAGCAGTTCACTGGAGCAGAAGCTGCTGTTGTGTAATTCGATTTTCTCCAAAAAAATGTGTCCCCTCCTCTTGGTCTTCCTTTTCCTTTTATATTGAGCATGAGTTTCTCTTTAGGGCTGAAAAGGAATAAGTTGTCCACATAAGATGTTCTTCATTGGTAGTCAATGGCTCACTTGGACTGCTGACGTGGATTTAAAATTTCCATGTCCTCCCTCATTTGTTTCCAAATTTGCTACTCCCACATGGTTTAGCATAAATGTCTGAAATTTTACCGCATAACTCAATTAAATATACAATTAAGATCGATTTATGCAAAATCATATTTTTTTTTCATGTTGGACCGCAATAAACAATTTCATGATCACTAAGTAGAATAAATGGGGAATAAATGAGAAAATGGTGAATAAGAGTGTAATATTAACTACAAAAAGACTTGATATGACTCTACATTTAGACAGTTATCAGGAAGCCTTCCTGAAATACTACTATCCAAAGGAAACCCGTATAAAGAAACAGCAAGAATTTAACCACCTGACCCAAGGCGAACGCACGATGGATCAATATGATCAAGAATTCATGAGATTAAGAAGGTTCGCACCGTCACTAGCAGACACTTAAGAGAAACAGACGGAGAAATTTGTGTTGGGGTTGAACCAGAAGGCCTGCCGCATGTTGGTGGCATTTAACCCAAAAACTTACGAAGAGGCCCTGAGGACAGTCAAGGCTCTAAAGGAACCTCCAGAGGAGAAAAAGTCGAAGCCAACGGTTGCCATAGGAAAGAAACGCTCCATCAAGGTCAGACCTATGAAATTTCAACCGCCACTCCAGAGACCTCGACATCAGAACAGGCCACCTACTTCGCCCAAAGTAGCCCGATACCTAGTACCGAAAAAACCCCTGTGTCGCGACTGTGGAAAATAACATCATGGCAGATGTATGGTAGACTCCAGTGTGTGTTATTGGTGCAGTCGTGCAGGTCATTTGACTAGAGATTGCTCTACAAGGGACACGGGAAACCCAAGGGAACCCTTTAGAGGTCCGGTCATTCGAGAACCCGCCATGCAAACCCACACACAAACCAGGGCATATGCAACGACCAGTAAAGAGGCGGGAACGTTTGGCACCATGGTGACAGGTACGCTGTAACAATTCAGATTTTCCATTTTTCCTTATATTGTTAAGATTTTTATTTTTATTTTTATTTCCATATATGACAAATATTATATTGTAGCAATTATTCCCATCGGAAAATATGCATGAAATTCTTATATTCCTATATTCAACCCTTCTCTTCCTTGAAAATGACTTTTGCTCTCCAAACTTGTTTCTATTTTCGAGGGTGTCTGAGAGTACGAAAAATTCGAGAGTGTTACCTTAAAAAACGTGTGGGTTGGTTCGCTGGGTGGTTTTCTTATTCGGCGAGTACTCAAAATCGATTGCATTGCTGTTTTGGAGGAAGAGTCGAGTGGAAGTTAGCATCAATGTCGGAATCGCTGCGTTGAAGAAGGCAAACAATTGGAAGCGAAGGAGGAGGACGCCACATAACCATCGTCAGAAATGGAGGAGATTGTGTTGTCGGCAGCGGTGGCACATCAGATTGGGGTTTTCGTGAGGGTTCGGGCGAAGGAGACACAGAGTCGGGTTGGGTTTCGGCCTCTGAACAAGCCCACGAACGTACGTGGGCTCTGTGCATTTCGGCCCAACATGGACACGCCCATGCAGCCTCGATCTCGGCTCTGCACGCGTGCTCTCGACTCGGCTTGACGTGTACGGTAGCTCGGCTCCGTTAAATCACGCGGCTCGGCTTGGCGGCTTAGTTGGTTGGCTCGGTAGCTCGGCTTATCAGCTCGGTATCACTATAATATATCAATTTCAAGGTTTTCAACCATTCCGAAGCGGTTTCTACCCTTGGTTTTACATCTGAGGTCAGTAGGGTTCCTAACCATCAAAGACAGATTGTGTTGGGAGTTTATTTTAAATAACATGAGATTTAGCTAGGGTATGTTATGAAAGGTTCCTAAGTTTTTATGTGGTTATTATAGGACGTATTTAACTGTTGGAATTAGCTTGTTGTGAATGACTTCGACCAAGGCCATCGAGCTAAGTGACCTTACTATTGAAGTTAGCTTACTACGTGTTGTATGATGGTGCGTGCCCTGTGGCCCCCTACATGCATCATATTTTATGTGATATGACTATATGATGTATGAATTATGTGACTGTTTACGTTATGAAAAGTTATGGATTATGTTGACTGTTGACTGTTGATTGTTTACGCTATGAAAAGTTATGGATGATGTTGACTGTTGACTGTTATGCTGTGAAAATATTGTTGATTTTCTCGTATCATATGCCATGAAAGTGTTGATCGATGCCATGGATACACGTAGTATTATCGAGTCATGTCATGAGATGCTTATGCAACTAGAATGTATTTTCATGTTATGTAATATGCCATGTAATGTAAGTCATGTGAGATGCCATGTAATGTAAGAAACGTATATGCGATGTTAGCAATGCTTTTGTAATGCCATGTTAGGTATGTTAAGGGACCTCATGCACTTATGTATGTCACTTGCATTGGGATAATTCCCCTTTCTGTTACAAAAGAATGAATTACGATATTTATGTTCACCATGATATCATGAGGGCCTTTTCTATTCTATGGTGTCCGACGACGTGTAACACGTTGTGCCCGACCAAGCCAGGCCTAGGGAGTATGTGTTGGCTTTTTGGCCCTTAATCTCAAATTAATTAATTTTAATTAATTAATTGATGTTGATGATAACAAACCTACCTTCAATTATTAACCATTCTCAGTATTTTGTCCACAGTGTAAGGTTGGGAATAACGATTTCAACGTCTTTTTTGGTTCACTCAAATTAGAGATAAAACGAGTTTCAGTCAAAACAAGATACCCGACGTGATGATGTGGCGGAAAAATTGACATCATGGACCAATCAAATTCAAAACAAGATACGGATGATGTGGTGACAAAATTGACATCACGAACCAGCGGCAAATTGACATCATAAACCAATCAAAGTATGACATTTATAAATTTGGTAGAGTAACAAATGGTGGAGTTTTCAATTACATTTATAAAAGTTTTCGGTTACTTTTAAATGGAAAGAAATTATAATGATTTCATTTACATTTATAAAAACTATTTAGGTACTTTTAAATAAAAAAATTATAATGATTTCATTTACATATATGAAAACTAATGTTACTTTTAAATGGAAAGAAATTATAATGATTTTATTTACATTATGAAAACTAGTTTTGAGAAAGAAAATTATTTGAATTACAAAATCATTTCAATTACATTTATAATGATTTCAATTAGATTTATAAAACTTTTCGATTACTTATTTAAAATGTTATCTACCTTGTTTTCATTAATTTTTTTTTATTATTATATTATTACATCTGAATATATATATATATATATATAAATAAATGAAATATATGGTTTATAATTTTTTATGATAAATTTAAAAATAAATAAATATTATTTTTCGTGGTCCACGTTTCGGTTCACGTTTTAGTGGTCCGTATCAATTCCTATTTTTACAACTTGATCGCTATTTAAACTCATCACCTCTTCGTATTTGTTAGAATACAACACAGAACATTTCACAATACATAAGTTTTTTTAGAACACAACACATAACATTTCACAATACACAAGTTCGATAGTTTCCTCTATCTAAACTTTTTTTTTTAAAGCCTCCATTGTTGCTCTCTCCAAGTTTCCAATTTTATTTCTTGTTTATCTTATTCTGAGAGAGATGTCTATTGTAGTGTGAGAAAATTGTAAATCTACTCTTTCACAGAGTTGTGGTGTGTGGTGTGTTTCTATAAAGTTCATCTTATTCTGAGAGAGACTATTGTAGTGTGAGAAAATTGTAAATCTACTCTTTCACAGAGTTGTGGTGTGTGGTGTGTTTCTATAAAGTTCATCTTATCCCGAGAGAGATGTCTATTGTAGTGTGAGAAAATTGTAAATCTACTCTTTCACAGAGTTGTGGTGTGTGGTATGTTTCTATAAAGTTCAGATAGTTGTACCAGTTTGATTCTGAGCCGTGGAAAGGATTGAGTTTGCTCTTGAACTCATAAAAAGAGCGGTGTACCAATTTGATCCTGAGCCGTGGAAAGGATTGAGTTTGCTCTTGCACTCGTAAAAGGAGTGGTGTAGCGGTTGGGCTCTGATCCGAGAAAAGAGTAAGTTTTATTCAAATTCTCAAGAAGCGCATGGGGAGTGAGTAGGTCGAGTTTGACTGAACCACTATAAAACTACAGTGTTATATTTTCTAACGATTTTCCTATTTAAGGTTCTAAATTATTGTTAAGTTTTATTGCATGGTAGGAAGTTTGATTGTTCTTAAAAAAAAAATTAATAATTACATTGTTGAAACCCTATTCACCCCCCTCTAGGGCTGTCATATCGATCTAACAGTATGTATATGAGCCCGTCTGGTGGGTCCATGTACACGTACATGGGCCGTGTGTGAAGGAGTACCACACATCCAACCCTACCCGAAATAGAAAAGCGCCCAAGGCTATGAAAAGTTAGGACGTCATGGAAGTGGATGAGGGGCATTTTTAGTAGTTTATGTTTATTGGACAGATTTAAGTTAAAGCATTGAACAATTTTTTATTTAGATTTGTTTTGAGGAAGGTTTTATTTTCAGAGATATGTTTGTTTGGATTTTTGGATCTTTATGAAAGACTTTGTTGTGTTTTCCAAGGTTATTTATAATGAACTTTCGCGTAATGAGTTATGTATGCATGGGTGATGTCACTAATTAGGTTTAGAAAATTAGGGGCGTTACAGTTAGTATCAGAGCTCTAGGTTATAGGTCATGTAGACTGGCTTACAATGTAGGCCTAACGTACTTCCATGGTTCTCCAGCAAACGCACCGTCACCGTCAAATATGCCTTTTTAAGAATTAAAGTTTCTTAGTTAAATGATGCATGTAGTAGAGAATATGTATTTTGTAGTGAATGATATGATGTACATGTGTTATATGTTGGTATGATTTATGATATGTTATGTACTATCGGATGGTTATGTTAATGCTATAGTTGTATGTACGAGTTATTTGCATAATTACGAATGTTTATAGAATCTAGTAGATGAGTATGTGACTTAGTAGTTACATGCACTATTTAGATGTCACCTAGAACTCGAAGAGGAGGTCATAGGGGACGACCCCGCTTAGGGGTAGAGGAAGGGGTGGAAGGTGACGTATTTGGAGACAAGAGGGTTCTGTAGATCATCCTCTTCTGTCACCAGCGACACCTCAGACCACACCAAACCCTACAACTGCTAGTAAAGGCATTGCAAGCTATGATACAAAATCTGATTGCCAACAGCAAACAAATGCTTCTACATCAACCATGGAAACTAAGTACTTTTAAGAGGGGTGACCCTCGAACTTTTAAGGGGGCATGGAAACTAAGTACTTTTAAGAGGGGTGACCCTCAACTTTTAAGGGGATCCAACTGTGGCACAGATGTGGTTGAGATCCAGACTGGGTTTGGGTTGACCAACTGCCCTGAGGCCCATAGGGTGGAGTGTGCTACGTTTATGCTGTGTGAGAATGCGGAATTGTGGTGGCAAGCCACCTGTGACATTATTAGTCGAGGGAGGTGCAGTCTCAGAATTCAAGAGTACATTTACTGAAGAATATTACCCAGAGGATGTTCAGCTGAGAATTTTTTAAACTAAAGCGATTTGCCCGAGAGTTGGTGGACACAAACTACAGGACAGCAAGACAGTTTGTGCTGGAGTTAGACACAAAGATTTGTAACACTTTTAAGGCGATTGCACCTACTACTTACGCTGCCGCCCTGAGAATATGTGCTGGAGTTAGACACAAAGATTTGTAACACTGTTAAGGCGATTGCACCTACTACTTACGCTGCCGCCCTGAGAATAGTAAGTCTGTGGAAGGACTTGATAGTTCACGTGAAACCCCTTCATCGTCATGGGTCAAAAGTGTCGTCATGAATGTGAAAGCAGATTGGGTAATGAATGTGGGAAAAATCATTGGGGTCAATGTTTGGGCCACGGGCCTGTTTTCAGCTCAGTCTATTTATGGTGTGCAATAAATTTCTATATGATATTGGCGGGATTTTTAATTTCTTTTTATCTATATTCTCTCCTTTAATTTTTCTTTAAATTCTTTTTACAATTATTTATATTCTCTCCTTTAATTTTTCTTGTCCTAATCCACCAGATTATCCCTCCCCCCATAATTCTTTTTTATTATTTTCAATTTTACTCCTTTTTGGATTCTTTTTTCAATGTTTAATTCACTTATTTTTTCTGTTTTCTTGTCATCTTATTTGTACAAATATTGTAATAATAAATTATATACTACTAGGTATAATGTACGGAACAATGTATACTTAAATATATACGATACGTATATCAATACTTTTTCCATAAAGCTCGACATACATTATGATAAATATATATCATACATTAAAATATACACATTAACATGTACTCAACATTACCACTTTTGGTATAAATACAATATAGAGGATAAAAGACATCCTATAGAATATAACATTCACGGGGAGCTCAATTCACGGATGTTACTAACATATTATATTTTATAAAAACGTTTCATATTTTATATTATTTTAAATTCATAAAAACTCGAATCTAGGTAAAATTTTTAAGTCTACAATTCATCCACGTCCTCAATCACATTATGCATTATATTTTGTCTATCTAAAAAAATAGAAAAGTAATTAATTTCCCTCATAAGTTATTAATAAACTTTATTAATTATTTTTAGCATAGTATAAGTAATTTATTAATATCTTTCTAGTATAGTATAAGTAATTTATTAATATCTTTCTAGCATAGTATAAGTAATTTATTAATATCTTTCTAGCATAGTATAAGTAATTTATTAATATCTTTCTAGCATAGTATAAGTAATTTATTAATATCTTTCTAGCATAGTATAAATTATATTTTTAATAGGTTATTGATAGATTTTTGGTCCCGGATCCGTACTTAGATATATGATAAAATAGAGTATATAATCATTGTGTTTTTTGTGTACACAATAATCTATACATGATCTATGATAGGGGTATGAATGAAACAGACCCACACCGCCTACTTCGGCTCATTGGCGGATAAGTAACATATAAGAGTATACATGCCCGGGGGGCATGCCTTTTCCGATCAGGGCATGTAGAGCTTGTTCCCACATTTGCATCTCCAGACTTCTGGGAAATCATCACCGACGCCTGGAGGTCCCGGCGTCACCGACACAAGAACCGTAGTGCAGGGCGTGCAACTCCCACACTTTGAGGCGCAGTTTGGTGGTGACGACCCCGGCCCACCCAATCCTCTTCTTGGCAAGGTCAACTCCTGATCTTCATGATTAGCGATGGGCTGGCATAGTATAATGTATTAAATTTTTTTAGTTAGAACACTAGATTTGGGTGCAAAAATAGAATAGGTATTTGTAAGAAAATATATGAGGAAGGTGATGAATCATCCATTATAATACTGGAACTAAAATAAATTTACCTGAGTATGTGCATGGCCGGATTCAACAGATGAGCAGTGCCTAGTGTTGTCCGAGGACAATATGAAGATAATGAAAAACAAGAAGAAGAAGATGGGTTTAGGTTCATTGGTTCTATTGAACTTCATCCTTCTTCCTATGCTTTCCAAATTAAGAAATAATACAAGAGCACTCCTGCTGACACTACAAGAAAAATGTCTTTTTATAGCGTTTGAATATTGTATTTTTTTTTTTTTTTAAGAAAATATGCTATAAAAAGTAAATGGAAATTTTTAGAAAAGCTTTTTATAGCATTTGAGTATTGCATTTTTTTAAATATGCTATAAAAAGGAAGGAAATTTTTAGAAAATGACATTTTCCCCTATTATTTATCTTTTATTAAAAAAAATTTATTCCATTTGTTTTCTCTCCCTTTCTTATTCGGTTCTTTTTTCTCCTTTCTTCCATCCCTTCCTTTTTCTTTCCCCTTTTCCATGCTCCACCTAATTTACAATGTTTGTTATATGTGATGACATGATGTCCAATTATTTGTATGCAATCAGTTAAGTATTAAAATGATCATGTTATTAATATTCGGTAATTTTACTTTGTTTTCTTGCACAAAAATTATATGCTTCTACTACAGACTAAGACAAAAAATGTACTAAGCTTTTTTTATGCGTTATATCTAGATTGATGTTCTAAGTTTCCTCCTCTAGTCAGTAACAAATTGTTCTAATGTTTAATATGGTTTGATGTTTTAAGTTTCCTCCTCTAGTCAGTAACAAATTGTTCTAATATTTCATATGGTTTGATGCTCTAAGTTTCATCCTCTAGTCAGTAACAAATTGTTCTAATGTTTAATATGGTTTAGGTGGAAGGAAAAAAAAAAAAAAAAGTGATATATTAATAGTCTTAATTTTTTTATGACTTCGCAAACCATTCTTGGAAGTGCATGTGGAACACATTCATGTATCAATCTAATAGTAAAATATCTTGTTAATGTTTTTTAACCATGTGGATAGTAATATTTTTATAAATTGCATGACACAGATAAATTTTAAAGGGAATGATTCATGGTCAATGGTCTTTCGAAACCTGCGCTCAGTGTCACAATCATACTATGAAAAGAGTAGGTTGTGACCCTTACGTTGCGACAATAAAATCAGCGATCCTCAAGTGGTGCCCATCCAACCACGTGAGGGGTTAGATGAGTGTCATGACGCGACCGAGAAGGATGCTGCAACATCTAACACACACTACACAGAGTAGACATGAGTGTCAAAGATAGGCTTGTTGAAGGGTCACAGACTTTAACCTCAAAAGTCAGTGTTACAAAGAGAAATTGGGCATGCAACTTTCAAGTAGTCTGTCCATATGAAATATAAATGCTTGCCAAATTTGGTGTCAATTAGATACCGGACGACCGCTCCACAATATTGTATGACCATTTGCCAAAATGACGTCTACACGAAAATGATTGGAAATGTCTCAAAATGTACCTTAAGGGGATGGCATGGTGTCAACTCTCCACCACCCTTGGACCCTATGGCCTAAGCAAGCTACCTTGTGGCACATGCGTATGTCACAATGAGGGTACGCGTTGCAAGACGAGTGTCTCAAACGACTTCCTTCGAAATAGGTCTTTCAAGGACAGTACTGGGTGGCACGGGTGTGCTGATATTGTGCCCTAGCCCAAGTGTCGGAGGTTTGATTATGCACCTGTTATCTAGTACGATGTCCGTAAATGAAATGACATATGCACAAGAGGGTCAACGTCTCGATGGAGCCCAAATGGATGGATGTTCGAGATGTCCCGATGTTATGAACGACACGTGGGCCCATTTTGATGGCATGACTGAGTGAGTCGCAATAGCCAACGACACCATGTGACTTGGGATGACGTCAAGACATATGGACCATGTTGATCCAAAACCAAGATGATGTTAGATGCGACGTAGCACATGATAGACCTTGAGCCCGAGTAAAGGTAAGGTCAAGCCAAATGACTTGACCTAGTGTAGAGGCAAGTCAGTTGTGTCACAAATGATTGAAAATGTACGCACAGACGGCATGTGTGGCCGAACAAGCTTGAATTCTACATAAGTAATGTTTGATTGGCAAAGACAAGCCTAGCCTAAAGTCTGACGAAGCCACAAAGTCGGACGAAAAAAAAAATATGCGTCATACTAATGCAAGCAATCACATAGTTTCGTTGCCAAGTTTTTCTTCTGGTCCCCATATCTTTTTTTTCCTTGGCCTCTGACAAACCAAAGCCTTGTCTTGTGTTCATATAGGGAAGGAAAAGCAGCAACTTGAGTAGGAAATAGAAAGGTTTTAGAGAAGAGTTGGGTTGGCTGAACTTCATAACTGAAAGCATCTCACGTTATGACATACGTGAAGGACGTATATTCTAGCTGACTAAAATAAGGTTGAGTATCAACCCACAACCCTACGTAAAAGAAACAAAAAGAAACATGAACTGAAAACGATATAACTGGGAAAAAGAAGTGGCCTCATGCATTCGTCATCTGCTCTAATGAAGTACTTTAAAAAGATGCATTTCACCTCATCACAAGGCTTAAACCACCTATGCATACGAGGCTGCTCATTATTCAATATTCAACACACACACCTTATAGAAGATTCAACAAAGAGACTCTTAACGACTCTCAACAACGCCAGCTTCTTTTGCAAAAATCTCTCCACCATATTTCCAATTTATAACCTTCCATATGTTCTTCAGATAGTCTGGTCGGACGTTTTTGTACTGCACAATGGTAAGGTTCAAAACATTGAATAAGCAGGCAGCAATATATACTCGGAGTACATGATCTTATCCAGATAGACAACCGAGAAAAGCAAGACCAAATCGTACTACAAATGGGAAGAAAATGGAAAACATTTACCTGCAAATAATATGCATGCTCCCAAACATCTATCCCAAGCAGAGGAACTAAAGCAGATCCTTTAGTCACAAGAGGATCCTACAAAGAGTTGCATCACCCACATCACTTTCAAATTTCAACCTCTCATTTTAATTATAACCCAACAACAAGCTACAAATCTACAAGCAAGTGATAAAAATTAACCTAACTCCATAAAACGCTGGAGTAAGGCGCAATAATTGGGCAAATCAATAAGAGATCAACAAAAGGCATCAACAAGAACAGAAATAGTACAAGATTGCTTCAGCACATGAATATGTAAGGGACAACGAACCTCTGCAATAGTATTATATTGTCCACTTTGAGCATAAGGCATCATATCAATAGAGATAATATCCCTTACTTACATACCTACGATCTTCTCTTTAATGTTAGCCAATGTGTAACTTCTACAATCCTCCCTTCGATCAAAGGACCATTGAGTCTCCCCTTAAATAACCATTTTTTCTGTCTAGTACTATCCAGATAACTTATTTCTCTAGAGCACATTGCTAGTCCAATAGAGCTCTACCACAAATCTTCACTATGATTACACCTTCGAGACTCACAACTTTTTTGTTCAACACATAAGAATTCTATGTACATGGTTAAGTCAAGAGTATGACTCTGATAATGGTATGACATGACTAAGTTAAGAGCATGATTTTGATATCACCATCACCTAAGCTCTTATTGCTTTGCTTTCGGTTTCCCAAAAGGCCCCATACCAATTAAAGTAATGTTATTTACTTATATACTCATGATCTTCCACTTAATTAGTCAAGGTGGGATTCCAACATGATATAGCTTTTAGACGAATAAACCTAGAGATATACCTGATTGGCCGTGGTTTCAACAGATAGCCTCTTCAGTTCTTTATCCAGAGCAAGCCACTAGAAAGCATTCGAAAAAGCTTCAGTGTTATATAACGTGGTAGACAAAAATGAAAATGCAAATCAATGCGCGGAAGAAAATATACCACCCATCCAGAGCCCTGTAAAGCAGCACCTTCTGCGTTGACTCTCTGAATTAAGGCTTCAAGAGAACCGAACTGGGAGTCGATCGCCCATCCTAGAGATCCCTTTGGAGGCTCACCACCCCCTTCCTGCAAATATATTACAGAAAATATTCGAATAGATAGATGGAACATCAAGAAATGGAGAATTAACCGAGAAATCGAACCAAAGACGCAAGGATTAGACTTACATGAATGGGAGCGAGATTGTTCCAGAAAATCGAATGATTAATGTGACCTTAAAAAGAAAATGATCGGTTATCAGTTGAGAGATGATATATATCTTAATTGATTCAATAAGTATCCAACGATACCCTAATTAAGCGTCTCGATCTGGTTTGAAGTATGACATAAATGATAAAGTAAACACGTATCATAGTCTTAAAATCGAAAGACATTGAGAAATAAAAGAAAACCTCCGCCATTGAATTTGATGGCACTCTGTAATTTGGCAACGGTGGAGGCGTGGCCTTTGTTAATGGCGTCGTGAAGTTGCTCAAGAGCCTTGTTGTAGTTGGTGATATAGGCTTGATGGTGCTTCTGATGATGAAGCAGCATAATTTCGGCGTTGATGAAGGGCTCAAGAGCGCCATAGTCATAAGGGAGGTCGGGCAAGGAGAAGGTTTGCAGGCCGCGGAAATGTCCAGACCCTAACAATCCAGAAATTGAAGGCGTTGCGGTTTTCCTGCTTAGAATTCGAAGCGCCATTGTCGATAATCTCACTCTCACACAGACCACAGTATGGATCTCAGCTCCAGTCGCCCACAGAAATTCATCCACCGGTGGCTTCAATTAGTAGTAATCAAGCAGTGCACCCTTTTTTTTTTTTTTTCTTTTTTCTCCCTGCGCTTTTTTTAAAAGATTATTTTCCATTATTTGTTGTGGAGCGTAAATGTAGCTAGGCGCATGGTTAAGAATGAAAAAAATAACATTAAAACTTGCAAAAATAAATAAAAGTTTATTATATATATTTTACTTTTAATTAAGAAAAAAAAAAACTAAAATGATTGTGAATGGAATATTGAAACAACTAAATAGGTATGATATCTTGACAACTTGATTGAGTGAAAATTTACTATTCTTCAGCTACATTTTTTAACATATAGTTAATAAATTATTTTTATTCAACTCAAGAATTCAAAAATCCAACCCAAACGGACCAGATTATATGGGTTGGATTGGGGTAAATAAAATTTCAAGTTAAGTTGGAGTTTTTTTTTTTACTCGATCTAATTTAGATTGGGTAAGGTTTTAGTGTGCAAAGGATCAAATCAAATCAACCTAATTTAATGTAGAGTAAAAGTAATTATGAAACTCCTTCCTCTAGTAATTATACTGCAACTAAGTCATGTTAACTATCTGATTTAAATCTAGAAAGAAGAAACCTAGTAAATGATTTTAAATACAGAGTTTTGTAAAAAAAAATAAATGCTCAAGATGTTTTTGCCGTCTTAATGTCGACAGTAACTTACGAATCAACATTTAGTTTGGGTGAGAGGATTCTTAATTCTTTTATAATTTGTGACAGCTAAAACAGTTAAAACTTTGATGCGTACACAAAATTAGATTGGTAAGAAATAAGCATCATTAGATCTTTCACATTTATATTTTCTATAAATGTAAATATGTATATATAGTAGTTTTTATTCTTGTTGTGCTAATTCCTTAATTATTTTATTTTTATCGATATTTGTATCATATAGTGTGTAGGCTAGTTTGTAAAGATTAAGTACTTGCCATTTACAAAAAAAAAAAAAAAAAAAAAAAAAAAAAAAAAAAAAAAAAAAAAAAAAA